CGAACAAGGATTAATAAATGAGGGTGTGACTTTGAGAGGCAAAAACTATCAGTCTCTTTCAAGAACTACCACAGCCCTTACAATACCCTGAAAAAAAACACTCAGTCATCACCCTCGAGTACACCATCCACCAGCAGAGGATCCTGCGTAGCCCCACAAGGGATGAGTCAGGAGTTTTGTCAAGTCATCACTACAGACCAGGCAGCCAATTTTTCCCCTCAACCTCCTATTTCCTTTACCCAGTTCTCACCAGGAGCAACAGAGGAGACAAACATCATAAGCCTTAAGGGAGAAGATACTAATAATGGCTTTTAAAGATGAAAGAGAGATGTTCCAGCTTCTCCACTTGTAAAAGACTTAATGGTTTGTAAAAGTATTGATAAGGAATAGCTGTTGAAGTTGCTACCACACAAATTCTTAGCAGACGACGTGTAATAGTGTTAGAAGAAGCTGGCATTTGAGGAGTAGATGAAGAGAGCTGATGTTGTCAGAACAGAAAATAACAGAGACACCAGTAATGGGTTCAGTGATGCCAGAGGGTACATTGCTGTGGCCTTCAAGGCTCATGAAGAAAGCTGAATAAAAGGTTTTCTTGGGCAAGCCAAGTTGAAAGTTCAACTTTATAAAGAAAATGTTCATACTGAGGTATGAAAATAAAAGTCTGCAGGAGGTATGCCTACAAGACATTTGTATATGTTTAATGTAAAATCTAGGTCAAGAATAATGGAAGGCAGCACAATTAAAGACAAAAAGTGCCCAGCCCAACGCTGGAACCTATTCTGCAATTAATTTTAATGGTGTCTGGATTAATGACATGGTGGCTCTATCTACATATGCTGTGACTATGTTTCTGCTTCCAGCATAAAGAATAAATCTGTATATTCAACTGTATATAATCTGTATATCCAGGCTCAAAGCCTGGATGAGGCTTTGAGCAACCTGGTCTAGTGGAAGGTGTCCCTGCCCATGGCAGGGGGGTTGGAACTGGATGGTCTTTAAGGTCCCTTCCAACCCAAACAATTTCACGATTCTATGATATACTTTTAAGCTTGTGTGCATGACTAATTTAAATAGTGCAATGTATACAGACAAAAAAATAAAGGTATTTTTTCACTTAGAATTTAAGACCACAGTATTACTGGCCAAAAAGTTATTTATTAGTACTGTTCAGCTTTTCTACCTGCTTGACAGCAGAGATATAACTTGGATTTACATTACTGGATAAAAGGTACAAAAATTCCAGAAATAAATATTGTGAGTAGCAAGTGACTTGTCAAAAAGCCTGTCTGCACAGATTACAAGCATGCTGGAGGCAGTCTCTTTGCAATAGAACCAGACCATTTCTGCATCTTCAGAACAGAAGTAAATGCACATCCAGTTCAAGTTCTTCCTATGACACTGACAGACTCATGACTATTGATTTTTCTGAGATAGAACAGTGTAGTACTTGCATGACTCAGTTCATGTGGCACTGCTGAAAGCTTGACAAATACATTTTGCTACTCAGCACAGCAAAATAAAGGTACAAGTTAAATTCAGAAGTTCCAGTTTTGGGTAGGGTGAAATGTTTTATATGTGCTCTACTGTGCTTGCAATATTCCAAGCAGTATTTTTCTTACAAATTTTGACAACAGTAAATACTCTCTTCCCTTATCGGGACAGATTTAACACTGTAACGGCTGGATAGCCTAAAAAATGCCCAAACTCCTCTGAGAAAACAGTGTTATGCTACTGATACAGTCAGGTTGGGTTTCCTGAACACAATCTGTTTCTACCCTGTCTCCAAGGATGTACACCAGTTAGCATCATGCGAAGATCTGGTCTGAAACACATGCAGAGCAGAGACTCAAAGGACATACATGACACACTAAGGATTACTGAGGTGTCAGACAGTGCTCATCATGAGGTTCAACCAACCCTGCACAGGGCCACAAGCTGGACACTGGTGGGGACACTGAAAGTGTAAGGCAACAAATTAGATTACTGGAGGCAACACTGCTGCTGAAATTTCAGAGAAAACCAAAATGTATCCAGGTTCAACAGAGAGGGAGAACAGCAGAGTTTTACCCAGCAGACTAGTTTAAGGAGTCTACATAAATCCTGGCCAAAGTTCCCTTAATGAAATGACTGTAATATTTTAGCGAGGATTTGAGTTTGTTTCAAATCATCTATTTCATTGTTCCTTTGCAGCAAGTAGTTCATCACTTTTCTCAGATCTCCTCACCCACAAATCTCTATGTCTCACGAAGAGCTATCTTTGATCCCATTTTATAAATAGGGAAATACACACACACCAGATGTGGTTCAGAGTGATTCTACAAATTCACAGATCAGTAGGAGAATCGGTGAAAAGCAGATACTCTCCATTCTTTGCCAATGTCAAAATAGCAATGTTTAATTGTATGCCTACTTGACACAGGATGCAGCAACAGAAACACTGAAGATCACTAAATTAATGACTTTCAGGTCTCCTTCACTCTGAAGTTTGAAATGCCAAATAGGAGCTGAAATACTGAACGAAAACTGCAATATTGAACAGAGGAGCAATTACATTAAACTGGCATCTTAAATATGCTGACCTCAGTGATTATAATATCAGCATTTCTTTTTGCTCCTGCTAGGCCTGGAGCACCAAGAGCCGAGAAGAATGGAGATGAATGTTTTCTTGTGCACCACCCATAGGATTATTAAAATTTATATTAATAGCCACTGAGCAGTCTGTGGAAGTTAACAGACATGACTGAGGTCACAAACAGAAAACATTTGTCTCTTAGAAATACTTGTGTAATGCTCATTTTTCCCCACTTAAACTTTAAATCCAACGGGAGCAGGAATAAAAACATAGTGGCATCTCAGAGGACTCAAATGGGGTATTCCATTTTGTCTATTTCAAAACAGGGGAAAACCCATCCTTTTTGCACTGAACTTTTATCAGGAAACATGGGATTTCAGCAAAGCTATTTTGATGTTGCTCTTGGATTGTCAAAATTCTATTTACTTGTATTTTAAACAGTATCCAAAGTTGTACTTCTCCTGGTACCCATTAAGGGTAGGGGTAACAGTATCCACTACAGGTTCAGGAAGGCTGTAGCACAACTGAGAACTGAAGTGCCCATGAACAGCAGTGTCAGCTGCTTATTTACCCTTTCCAGGCACAATGGGAGACAAAACTTCTCTGTTATTAAAACTATCTATATATGAAAAAAATCTTTGGCCCAGGTATAAATAAATTTTTACCTACTCAATTTTTTTTCTTTTTTTCCCCAATTTTCTAATGTGTGATTCTCCTAAAACTGAAGGAAGGGGGAATAGAATCTGTTAACAATGGTTTTATAGGAGCTGTGAACCAACCTCCACATACCAAGACAAAAGAACACTAGCAACTACTTCTACTTAAATATTGTTTTAATTTTCACTTCACAGCTGTAGTCACTAAACATTTTTGCACTGCATAACAAGCTACTATTATAGGAAGTAAAATACTAATTGAACAGTGAGTTAGAGGCTCAGTTAGATGAGGCATTACCAAGATTCTTCTGTGCCTTTACATGGACACCATCGTTTGCCTTCATTATTCCCGATGTTTTCACGTGGTTCATGGTATATGGGAGGATCAAGATATGAAAGCAGCCTGTTCAGTAACCAACCTGGAACAGCCTCTATCTCAACCCTTGTAACATTCTTCCACCAATTCCCAAAGGATGCCTTGTAGCACTGAAGCAATCATTTCAGGTCATAACAAGATAAAGAACTTTAAATAACTTTTCACTTTTTCCAGTGAGAACATGATTTATGCTCTTAAAATTAAAGACTTTTGTACAAAGTTCTTTAAAGAACTGTTTTTAATTACGTGTTTCAAAACTGAGTTATACAAAACAATTCTACTACTTATAGCCAGTAAATATATTAAAAACTTAAGAGACCAGGAAACAAATAAGCAGACTAGCCTAAAACTAACTTGGGTGTTTTCTGGAAAAGCATATCATGAACAATTTGTCCCTTGTGACTGAAAACAAAGAGAGAGAAGAAAAGGGGTAAAGAAAATGAGTTTAAGCAAGAAACTGTAACACGCCTTTTGATCTTGCATGCAAGCTGAAAATGAGAAAAAGTTTCAATCATTCAGTCTCCAGCCTTATTTAAAGATCAAAACAAGCCTGAGCAGCTTAAAGCCTTACTTGATTAAAAGAAAATCTATGCACAAAGAGTTAATTGAACAGCAAGTGGGACATTCTTTCTTGCAGCTTTGCCAAAATGATAGAAACATCATTATTTATAAACTGTCCTGTATTCCACAGAAGACAATCAAGGTGCACTTTGCAAAAGGTTTTCCTCAGAGCCTACCATTTCTTTTCAAATCTTCTATTACCTACCTGCTACTTTAAGAACTCCAGGTTGAGTTTTAATAACTTGATAAATTACATATATGAATCAAAATCTTCCAGCTATTTAGAGACTACATATAGTACATATCCTCAAACAAAAATTGAAAACAAGTGGCTCAAGATATGTACTAAGGAAAGCCTTTTTTACCTACAAAATTCAAAATACCAGTGATAAAGTTCTGCTGCAATACAAGAGTCTGTCTGAATGTGTAAAGCTTTTGCTGAGACTACATAAATTCTAGTCCGTAAGTATTCTCAGCAAGTGAATCCATTTTTCCCATTCCTTTGAAGATGCCACCGAGCTAGCACACATCCAAGACTGCTTAATTCAGAGGGAATATCAAAGTGTCATTCTTTTGACTACTTGTAAGTCATGTTACTATGATTCACTGTATATTGGACTAATAATTTAGCAGTTCCTAACAAAGTGTTAAACATTCGAAAATGCTTGAGGGCACAGTAGATTAACAAATGAGATAAATGAAATAGATGGCATTTAAGTAAAGATTTCTGTCTGTTGCCCATATTCTAACCATTTAAAGTATCTTAACACATTATATATTACACTGCTTTCAATTAAGTATCCTGATCCGCATCACAATCCACATCAGATCAGAACTAATTTTGATCTTCAATTACGTACGCAAGATCCAAAATCAGATTCGCTGTCTCCACAGCTACTTGAAGGCCACTACACTTTGCAGCAAAACAGTCTAATGCCAAAAAGTCAGCGACCCTTACCGAGGGCTCTTCAGGGCAGCCTGAAACAGGAGAGCCACACTGGCCTCGCAAAAGCCTCCAGCTGAGATTCTCAGTGTTACCATTAATCCCACAGCCACATTTTGAAACTAAATCTGACCAATTTGAGACAGAGGAAAAACCTGACGGAACAAACCAACAGTGTCCATAAACCATGTCTGTAAGAATTTCTCCATCATCATGATTCAGAGAGCAAGCTACAGACTCCAGGGAACGGCAAAAACCATCAGCAACCAATTGGTATTGCGTCCGAGAACAATCTAGATCTTTAAAACTGCTGGTAGACAGACTACAACTCTAAAAAACAAAACCAAAACCAGGAGAACAGAAAATTAGAACACTTTTACAGAAATAATTTTAATCAAACTTATATTGTATTGTTGCCTTTTTTTAACAGATGTTTTGGTCCTAACTAAAAAAATTGTTCATGTGATGATTATTCCACAATAAGAAAGATTTCTACACAAGCCAAAGCACAGTTCTGCACGACTATCTATCGCTGTAAAAATTCCACACGTTTTTATTTTAACACTTAAGCAAGCACTTGCTATAATAGATACCTAAAGATAGATTAACAAGTACAAATACAGTATTAACAAGCCGGAAAGATGTAATTAGCACTGAGTGCTTCAAATAGACCCCTTTGTTTTATATTAGTACTTAGACAACAAAAATGCAACATTAATCTAGAAAAATCTAGCAAAGACAAGTGTTTTAATTATAGTAGTAATTCTATATAACTTCTTGTTTCCTAAGAATATTAAGCAGCTTTAAAAAATCCTTATGTTTTACATACCTTGTGTCTTATGTACGAAGCCAAGTGAGTTTCTGTGCAGCCACCTCCTAACAATGCCAAAGGTTCCTTGATTGTTAACTGTAACACATGTTCTGCAGTTTCACAGGTGCGCTGAAAACCACACGAATTGGTCGTTAGACATACCATGATTAACAGGATTTGCCCCCACTGAAAGAACTACTGGGATAAAATTCTCAGTAGTTTCTGGTACAGGCTTCCTAAACTTGAATTACATGTGGATATAAAGCTGCTGAGTGATTTCCAAAACCATGCTGACTTAATGAGAAATTACCTTTATTTGTCCACACTCAGTATGGAAAAGCAGAAATAAAAAAAAAAGCACCGTATTTTTAATTCTTTTAGCAAAACAGGGGTTTATATAAAAGTCAATCAGTATCAATGACATTTCTGGAGCAATTATTGAATGCAAAACTATGTTTGACCACTACTGCTGCTGGGCTTTTGCTGGGCAATTTTTTCCTTATGCTGTCATAGAACTAAGTAATGAGAATGAACATGTTTATCCAGCGCTAGCCTCAAGAACAGGTGAAAAACGTTTCTGTCTCTAAACAACTTCCTGTATTAAAAATAGAGGCATTAAATAAACATGAGCACTTCAAAGATTTTTGAATTCCAGAAACAAGGGTGTTCGAGTTGCTTTCTGCAAACTGTATACCTAAACTCTAGGCTCCATTTACATACTGAAAAATCACTTCTCTAAACTCACTGTATCTGTATTTCTCATTACTTTATTTTTCTATTAAAACTATGACTCTTCACGAAAGACTTCCATAAAATTTGCCTACCTTCAATTCATCCCATGCAGTTTCATTTCTGTTACAGAGTATCAAGCTGCAGACAACTGCCTCGTTCGGAATTAGATGCACAAAGCGTTTTGAAGCCAAACTCTCCACGCACACATCTTTCAAACTTCCGTAGCAACTAGGTGCCAACAAGTCTATAGAGGCGATAGGCTTTGAACCTGTGCAATCGAGAAAAGCAGAGAACAGCAAGTATTACTGCCATCAGAACGGCTCTGTTGCATTTCATAACGCACAAACTATTTTCCTCTTGGCTTTTTAAAAGATACATAGTCTTCAAAACCTAACACTTCAATCTACACAGGAAATTATGAACAGAACCCAATGTTTTCAAAATGCAAGACACCTTTTTGTTTTAAACTAATTGTTTTATTCTCATGAAGTAAGAGTCTGAAAACAATTACATTTGCAAACAGTTACTATAATTGGGTATTCCTCATGCAGCAATCAGTAATCAGATGTGCAGCGTGTCATCACTAGAGTCTGCAAAAGACCAGCCTGGCCTTGAAGAATGTCATTCTTTCCAAAGAAGTCACCTCTTGCTAAGGTAGGATACAGACAGAAGTAAGGGAATCCTTACTCTGCAGTGACACCAGCCAAGACAGGTTTTCACTGAGATCAGCGTTAAGGACAACTGATTAGCACCGACAACTTGCTTGTTACCTGTCATCAGGCTCAGGGGTTCCATCAGAGCGAGCCCAGCTCGGTCCACTGCAACGACATTGTTCTCTTTCAGATACTGTTTCAACGACGGATGGATAACCTTCTGGCACACCACAAGGCCAACCTCATCATCAACCAGCTGCTTTCCTACATTAAGCAACTGATTTAGCTCTGATGCTTCTAGAGAAATTCCATGAAGGACTGTTAGAGTTCCTTCTCCGGGGCTGAAGCAGTCTCCTGACATGGACACACAGAACAGGGCTATCTTGACCATGCCTGAACAAGTCCTTTTGACAGTAAGTGGTTTTGCCAATTGAATTTCGGGTGTTTCTATCAGCAGTCCGGGAAGAACTGTAGAATCCACAACTCTTGTGCCTTTCACAGGTACTATTACACATTTTCCTAAAACAGCATTTGTCTCAACATGACACGGCACAGTAAATATAAAAGCCTTTAAAATCAGCGTGGCAAGATGATCAACTTCTGTTTTGTTAAGCATGCAAGCAGGTTTGCTCGCTAATACGCTACGTACCAAGCAACGAAGGGTCTCGACACCACTAAAATCGACAGATACTCGGCAACCACAGGCCTCGGATTTGAGATAGTCCATACACAAACTCAAAAGATGTTTGCTTATTTTAACAACGGTGCCAGAGGCCACATTTAGGCTTCTGAAGTTTTCAATCAAACTACAGCAAAGAATGGCAGTAAACAAGCCCCCGTCACTGAAGCGAGATATGTGGTTCTGTACAGAGGCCGTCAGGACACTTAATGCAGGATGACTGAAGGAAAGACGACTCAGTATGGCTGAAGACTGTGAGGTTGTACAAACATAGCCTCCCACACCATTGTGCAGCTGTTTGAGCCTACCAGCGGGACCATAGCAAGACTTTAATATGCCACTCAGCAGGGACAGTGGCTGACTAACTTTAGTTAAAGGGTCACTAATAAACAACGGAGCCTTTTTAGCTTCAAGACGAGACATTTTCAGAGTGAGATTTTAATTCTGGCCATCAAAACAGATTTCATTTTTGCTGGGACCTATAATGCACCACACTTTACGTTTAATATAGTACATTTTAATTCGTTGCAGCCAAGGATGGTTTTAAATGTGAAACAGTAACATACACCAACAACATTTCTGTGACTGCTCAGCTTCTACCTCTTAACATCAAAGCTAAACCCCATCGTGAAATTGGTACATGATGACAAGCAGTAAGCTATTTCATTCACAAACGTTGTCCTTTTTAGCTTCTGAATGTGAGCGAGCAGATTTTTTTGCAACAAAGTTCACGAGCATGCTTCCAAAATGGACACCTATAAGTGAGAGTCCTGCCACAAGCAGAAAGTTCTTCCTAGTCCAGCTGGCTTTCCTCATCTCTTCTTCTGGCAAGACTCACAGATGAAAAGCTTCAAAGCTAATTATACCTACAATAAAAAACACATAATGGTATTAGGATAATCATATGTCATTATTGCATAGCTTGAACCACTATTTAGTATTCATAAATACATCAGGATAAATATCTTACTATTATGCTTCTTAATTGAGAAAACCTATTAATATTATATCTAATACAAGCATACAGTAGACAAATTATACATGTTTGTTAGTAAATTCTGACCACCAGCTCATATATTGTTTTATTGGCAGGTCTATAAGTAACAGACTACTATAAACCACACCAAATTGGATGAAAGCACCAAAACAACAGTGATGTTGACCTGTTCTTGCTCAAGGACGAAAGAACTAAGCTACTCAGTACTGCTTCCCAGGCAACCACCTCAGAAACAGCAGCTTTTAATGTTCATACAACTTTAAGAAATCTCTGCTGCTGAAAGAAAGGTTTCTTACTTCAAGATGGCCAACATACAATTTATTATTTTTCCAGTTCTTAACCACTTCAAAAGGGATAATTATCTACATTTCCATGTAAACTGACAGTATTTACACATCTCAAACTTAGCTTCCTTTTCTACTGTAATCACCATCCCTACTAACACCACAGAACATGTTACCATGTAAAGACACCATTATTTCTGGGCCACTTTGAACCTGAATGGATGCTACTGCACAGCCAGCCAGTCACAAGAGCCTGACTGACTGTTGCCTTGAAGTTATTGGAGTTTGTCATCAAATATCTTTAGTACCTATAACACTTTAATTTAAATGATCTTATCACACAGGATTTCGCAGTAGTTTTTGAAATGGAGGATGCATTTTTTGGGTCCATGTAACTACCAGGCGAACTCAGTTGCAAAAAAAAGACAAACTCCGGAATACTAAAGCACAGAGCAGCAAGACCATATAAGTTAGAAAATTCTCAGTCATTTGACTCATCTCCTGCCTCAAACTTACAGACACAACCAATGAGGCAACTTACCCACAAGACATAGCACTAACATTATTTCTCTTTGTTTTTGTGATCGCTTCGCAGCACGTATGCCACAATCCCAGGTTCTGGAACAAAGTCCTGTGTCTTCACTTGGAAAATAGGACTGGACTTGATGTAAAACCACCCCCAGTGCACCAGCCCAAGGACAGGTCCCATAACAATCAGAACTTTGTAGTCCTTCCAGACATTTTTAAGACCCATTGCAAACTGGCATCTACCTAGGTAAAGATAATTTATTACTTCAAATATACTCTAGAAATCTTTTTTACTCTATAATAATAGCACAGAACAGATGAACCTGAATGTTAATGTCTTTAATTACAGTGCAGCAGACGATTAAAACACAAAATGACACAAGAAAGTCTTACTTTGTGAACTTCAGAAAAAGAGCTATAAAAATAACCTCAATTCAGACATCTTGAGACATTAATTGCTGCATTTGCTTCAAGCTTCGGCATGCTAAATCTTAAAGCTTTGTTACTTTGCTATGTTTATCTAATTATAAATGTTACTGCTTCAGAGAGCAAATATTTGAAGTCTAAACCAAAGCAGTTTCAAAATACACTGTTTTTTCCCCCATTGTTAATAAAGTCCCATGACTAACCAAGCTCCTGACAGAACGTGGGACTAACTTGCAAGCCAAGTAAGTCACAGTACTTCAGACACCGCTTTCCGTTGGCCAGAGCAGCAGCTCTGCCGTCATCTCCAGGGGGTACAACAGAATCAGTACAAACACGGTGAGCTCGCTCGTACCTAAGCAGAATGTATAAAATCCACCCTACTTTCCGCAGAGTTTCATCAAGACGTACTTATAGGAAGGAAAGGTACACATACTCAGGTTTTATATCAAACCAACTTCTTGATTAAACAGCTCAGAGAGTAAGTGTTCCTACACCTGCCCAACCTCCTTCCTCAGCAGCTGGAAGGTGTCCTAAGCCCCGCTCCACGCCGCTGGGCGGAGCAGGCCGCACACCCCCGGGCC